TGTGCGAGCATGGTCCTTCTTTTATTGAGCCGACCCATTCGTGCTACAATGCGCCTTTACCATGTACAACTTTACCACTTAACATGTGACCCTTATGTCAATTAGTATTATATAATTCTATGTAACATAATTATGTCTATGTCAATAATTAGTATTTTTTAGTTTTATAACACCTTTAGCGACATTTATGAAACGGAACAATGATTATTGAAAATAGTATAAAATAAACAATCCAAACAAGAAACATAAATAGCGCGAGTTTAGTGGATTTATGTAAAAGTTTTCATTTCATTTAACCACAGAAAATATAATGTATCCAAAATAAATTTTATTAAAGATAATGAAAATTAATTAGCTTGATCCGCATAAAAATTAAAAATGACGTGTTCACGTATTTTTAAGATGGATCTTAGCCAGCCAATTAATTTTTGATATTTTCATTGGATATTTGGATTTTCGGGAACTAACATAAAGATTTCCTCACCTGATTCTGTTAATTATGATGATTAATAATATCCCAGATACGACGAGACCTAGTAGTTAGGACTTGGCTCCTAAGGCTACCTTTGGTAGAGCCACGCTGCAGCCATATTATGGTTGTAGCACGAATGTATACGCTCGACCGCGGAAGGACCACGCTCTCACAGATTACGAGCGTAGAATAGCAGCTTAATACTGCTGTGTTTTGTATGGTTAATGTAAAGATCCGGAGATTCTTTTTTACTGGATACGTGGCATCCCATGTTATTCCTCAGGGGTGACAACGCATCTGCGTTTTGATCCTTAATCAAGGATAAATACAGATGTCTATGGACCACAGCATCCACTTACCACCAGGTAGGCTGTGAGCTCGTTTGGCACCCTTTTCTTTATTAAAAAAACACTAAGCTGTGGGTTTGAGAACCCACCAACAGGAAACAACATTTGTGCAAAAACCTGGTATTCATACGTTAGGTGTGTTTAAAAATGCATCCTAGTTAGGTTTACTAAATTAGATTTCTAATTTTAAGGGACAGCAGTATTAAAACACTGGATTCAGTGTTAAAATAAGTAACAACCATATAATATATGTTTATTTAAAAATCAACACAAAACTGGATCGAGTGAAGTGTTTTTTTTTATTGTTCTAAGCTAGCGCTTATCTACAATCCCACCTGATGGTTAGTGGTGATGTAGCCTAAGATGGTGAAGCGCACTGACTTATTAAAAACCTATTCACTCTTGCCTTGAAGACACCCGCACTGTGATCGGACGGAAAGATAGATGCTGGCAACTTATTCCACTCCTTTGCTGTACGCATGATGAACGACGTAGCAAAACGGTTGGTTCGTTTGTCACACCCTTATTTTATATAGTAAAAAATTATCCATTATCTAATTACAGCCAATAAACAACCACTGGTGAACTACTGGGAAAAAAGGTTCTCGAGTGGCAGCCTCGTACCCGTAGGCGAATCACGGGGCGACCCATCACTACATGGAAAGAAGACCTGGTAAGACATGCAAGAAATCGATAGATGCAGGGGGCTCAGGACCGTGCTTTGTGGCATTCTTTGGGGGAGGCCTATGTTCAGCAGTGGACTCGTGAAAAAAAAGTGGTTACTCAAGTGTCACCTGGCATGAAAACAGCCTTAAGTTTTAAAAAGCAGTTATTCAATGTTAAAAACAGACACATCAATTTTATTTATATGTTTGTATGTATAAATTATAGTTCCCTCTGAAGGCGTCAACATACAAATTCGTTCTAAGTACAGGTTGACATTTAAATTTCAGTGTAATGTTTCCATGATTGCAATAGTTAATTTTAAAAATGTACAACACGTCGAAAGGGACCCAACCAATACGCACCTGACCAGTTTCTTTAACACCGTTTCACACGGTTCCTTGGTTAGGGTAACCATTTATCTCGTATATCTATTTTAGCTTATAATGTTTGATATTTTTTCACTTATAAAAGAGCAAACACAGTACTTTTAAAGGTAATTACGATCATCAACTGTGACCAATGTTAATAACACTACAGTTCAAAATTTAACAACCTCTTACATAATTATATAGTCATTTGATATCCTTAGTTTTTCGTGAAGTTGTTGCCGTATTTGTTTGTCATCCAATGTTGATTAACACTTCGGCTTGAAGTATTGTATCAATTAAATAGGACGGGGAAAAGGTACAGACGCATTAAAACGGAACATTGCTCGTACTGCAGCTTGGTGCAAGATATAGTGCTAGATATAGTGTTAATATAGTGCTAGTAAAAGGGGAATACCAATCCAGACGGGCATACGGGACATAGAGATTTTTATCAACGCATTCTTTAGAAATTTTCGTTATTAGAAAATAACAAAAAATTGTGCGTGTAATTGTGTACACTATTTTTATAGAATAAGGGTGACAAACGATCACACAGTCCACCTGATGGTAAGTGGATGCTGTGGCCCATAGACATCTACATTTATCCTCGATTAAGAATCCCTGAGGGCTAAGATGAAATGCCTCGTTTACAGTAAAAAAGGTTCTCCGGGTCTCTTCACTCACCATACGAAACACAGCAGTTTAATACTGCTAAAGGCACTTTTTAACTAAAGTTTAAAACTTAAGGTATTCTGTGAGAGTGTGGTCCTTCCCCGGTCGAGCCGACCCATTCGTGCTACAATCATAATATAGCTGCAGCGTGGCTCTACCACGTATTACGTACGAAATGAAACTTTACGACATATCATTCTTCTATTATTTTATATTTTACATAAGTAGGTCAAATAATAGTATACTCATGCAGCCCCGGCAGTGAAACGTTACAAGAAAACGTGACGTTTTTTGATTTTTTTAATACCGTACTAAATTTCGACACCGCGTCGATAAAGAAGCTTCACTTCAGAAACTGTTAATAAAAATGGTTTTATTTACTGTTTATCAAAATAAAATTCCACTATTTGGTGAATTATGGTGTCAATATTCGTGCATAGGATGTTATTTAACTTCGGACATGTGCATGGACAAATAATACGATTCCTCGAAATGCCGTTTTATCTAAAACAAAGCGTACCTATTTGTCGCTGTCGAAGGCACAATGCCAGCGACTTGCTGATATTTTTACTGCCTTCGTTATTGCATCGAAGCTATAATAAAGTCAATATTTCGCGTCCGTAACAATTGTTAGGACTACACTACCATAAATGAATATTTTTATAAGGGTAAAACATCGAATGTTTGATATTTTAGCTCAATTTTTTCCCAGTTTGTGTATGTATAATACATATTATTATTTTATATACGACATGTAACAAAAGCCCTGTGGTTCCCGTTAAGTGCGCTATGAGAATTAGTATTCAAATTCAAATGTATAGATTTTTTTTAAAAACTCGATCATAAATTATAATTATTTTTGCATTGTCTGGGGAGTAAGAGGATTGTCAAAGACCCCGCTTTTCCGATGCTGCGGTAATGAAACCACATACAATTTGAAAATAAATAATTAGTTTTAATTAAATAAAATGTTTTCATGGTCGAGTTTGCTGGAAAAAAATTCTATACGTTTGAATACAGATTCTGATAACGCTCTTAACGGGAACCACAGGGTTTTTGTTACATGTTGTATAATATTATTATAATTTCCTCCATCTGGGTAGAACTGTACAACCACAAATGCACTCTCTATTCACTCACTCTCATATTGCGATGGGACGGCATTTCTACACAATTATTGGTCAGAGATCATACGCAGGTCAACGGCCTTATGTGTTTTACGAGGCACGTGAGTGAAACACCGTCAGGTTCCTGACTTCGGGCTGCTACTGAGAATTTTTTGACAGAACAACCCAATAACTGATTTTTGACCCGACCCGGGACCACTGCTGATCACCAGCATTGACGCTTATGTAACGCGGCAACTATTTTCGTGTAAAACGTAGAATACAGGCCGTATTCCAATATACACTGCAAGCACTGCTCAGTGCTCTCACTAGTGAAAAATTCATTCCGTTATGGGCTGCCAGTATACTGCCGCAGTAACCAAGGGAGTAGGGAGTAGGGACGATGACTGGCACTGGCGCTTGCGAGGTAAGGTGTTCTAAGTACTTTGATTACGTGATCAATAAACATAATAGCGCCAAGAGGCCAAGATATTTAACAGCTTCCACGAATGATTGTTATTACTATTAATTAATACTGTTATTCAATTAAAGACTTTGAGAATTAATTCGCACACATCCGCTCAGTAAAATAAAATGATTGTGTCTTTTTAAATCTGGTCTTACCTAGTTCGAAGAGCACCTTCCCGCTCGGCTGACCGCTAAGCTTAAAAGTCAGCCACCGCAAAGTCTACATCACCTGAGGATGTCTCGTGTAGAGGCGAAACACGTGTCGTATAATCGTCGAAGGTGTGTCTTTCCTAGTCTAGTGGTGCTGGGATTAGTGTACGCAATTGTGGGAGGGCGGTAGGTGCTCTTCAAACTAGGTAAGACACGTCATTTTATTTTACTAAGCGGATGATTGCGAATTAATTCCTAAAATCTTTAATATACTTAATGGATTTCCGCAAAGTAACGCCTGAATTCTATTAATTATTGTTATTCAAATAAACTCACATATTAAGTTTTAAAAGCAACAACACTCAAATAATAATTTTTCTAGTTGAACAGAAAACGTTTACACGATGAATATTTTAATTTGAAAACAGTGTCGAAAAATAGGGATAACAGTATACTGGACCGCGTTCCATTTTAAACAGGAATCAGTTTAGCAAACTGAAAAGGAACAGTTTCACAGTACACTGAATTGACGTCACACCTTTACAGTGACAGTGGTCATAGTATGTATAGGAATTCGGAACACATCCACAATAATACATACACAATAAAACGGGGGAGTGGGCGGTCCCAGTGCCGTGTATCCAAAATGTCAATTCACACCTTTTAATGTCAACGCATCTCTCTTGAAGTCACGTCACAGTCGTTGTCTAATTTTCGTGCCAAGCGTCGCTACGTGTTATTTACTTAAAAAATGCCGAATTGTTCGGTTATAACGTGTCGGAAGAACAGCGGGAAATGGAATTTGAAGAATGGAGGCATATCCTTCCACAAGTAAGTCGAAACTATTTATGTTTTGTGAATATTAGAAACAAAAATAAAGAAAAGAAATATTGATGTGCAAAAGCAACAGATTATGCAGGTACTAGGGATGTAACAAAATTTTACCGATAACGGTAAATCGGGAAATATTGTCGATTTGAAAATTGTATTTTGTTTATTGGCAATAGCCTGGCGTTGTTGCATGGCATGGAGGTTAGAAAACAGAAGAACGATCGCTGTAGAAAATAGTGTCTCAGAAATATGGACAAAATAAATGAGGCGCTGCGATCGCTTAGTTGTCTCAACAATTTTAATTATTATTACAAATATAAATTATTAACTATTATTGATTTATTATTATTTTTTCTAATCTTTCGCCGTTTTTTAATGTTTCTTTTTGTCAAAAATTAAAAAATTACTTCGCAGACACTACTTACCGACGGCAGCGTGGCTATAAATTCTACAAATTTTCAGGGACAGGCGGGCTATGCTTTAGCACGTAACGATCGTTCTCCTGTTCTCTAACCTCTATGTAGCATGGTGCGGATGACAGCTTACAATTTAACGTGTCTAGAGATGAAACAATGTTAAATCGATTTAGCAAATGGCGATTAAAGATCCATCAAACAAAACAAAAAATATCGATTACTTATGGAGAAAATAATTTGAAATCTGAACATTTATTAATTTTTTAATTTACAATGCGTATAAATTTAATTATAGTTGAATACAAACTATGACATTATATTAATATACTAGCTGTACCTTGCTGTTTCGTCACGTATAATTTAAGTAATCACTGGTTAATTGATTGATTTATTTTATAATACATCAGTATAGATAATATTTTTAGTAAGTGGTAATATTTTCATGTGATAATAAAATATATTTGTTCTCTTGGCTCTTACCAGGCAGCTAGGGTTATGCGTCGTTCGCACGCCGAGCCGAGTGTTGCATTATTTTAATTTTTCGTTATCTCTTAAACTATACTTCCAAATAACATGCTATACAGACCAAAGTTTATCTTCATGAAATTTTCTTGCTGATGAAGCCATCATCATCATTATAGCTCTTCACAAGTCCACTGCTGAACATAGGCCTCTCCCAAGGAATGCCATAAAGCACGGTGTTGAGCCACCTGCATCCATCGACTTCCCGCATGTCTTACCGGTTCGTCACTCCATCTAGTGGGAGGTCACCCTACACTACGCCTACCGATACGAGGCTTCCACTCGAGAACCTTTTTCCCCATCGGCTTTCTGTTCTTCGTACTATATGGCCGGCCAATTGCCACTTCAGCTGACTAATCCGTTGGGCTATGTCGGTCACTCTGGTTCTACTGTAGATATAATTATTCCTAAGTTTATCACGTGGAGAAACCCCGAGTATAGTCCTCTCCATAGCTCGCTGAGTGTCCTTGAGCATCCTCATACAGCCAGCCGCGAATGACCACGTGTCAGATCCATAAGTCATCACTGGCAACACGCACTGGTTGTACAAATCTAATTTTCAGGTTTTGAGGTATACCTGACGAGTAGATGTGTCGTATTTTCCCGAAGGCTGCTCAGCCGAGTTGAAACCCCTCGGTCGAAGTTGGACTTATTTATTCGGACTATTTGTCCCAGGTAAACATACTCGTCAACAACTTCGAGCTTAGTGCTTCCAGCTACTACTGGCATAGGTGTGACATGGACATTAAACATGATCTTTGTTTTGATGTTCATCATCATTTGATGTCCATGTTCATCTTAAGACCTATCCGTTGGGAGACACAATTGAGGTCACTGAGTATAGTACTTAGGTCCTCCAGCGATTCTGCCATAAGGACTATATCGTTGGCAAATCGAAGGAGGGTGATGTAATCGCCGTTGATATTAATACCGTATCCTTTCCAGTCCAGTAGCTTGAAAACTTCTTCCAATGCAGCTGTGAAGAGTTTCGGGAATATAACGTCATCCTGTCTTACACCTCTCCGCAGTTGGATAGGTTTTGTACTCTGGTTTTGACTCGGATAAACATCGTAGCCATACTGTGCAATCACTTCAGCACTTTGATATACCGACAGTCAACTTGGCACCGATAAAGGGACTGTAGTACTGTAGCGATTCGTAATGACTCTCGAAAACAGCAGGTGGACGCGGCTCAAAAGGGAAATCGTGCTGTAGTTCTTCAAGAGAGTGTTGTCGCCTTTCTTGAAGAACACGACCACTGCACTTCTGTTCCACGCCTCTGGAGTAGTGCTACCATGGAGGACGGAATTGAGGCAGGGATGTCCGATTTTTTGTTTTAAATCGATCTTCTGGATTGTAAACGATCGTAACTCGTGAATCGATTCACAATTTAATCATATTGCATTGAATCGATCTTATTCGATCTCGGAAAATCGTATCGTAATTTTATAATAATAAAGAAAAGCACAATATGCATGCAAATTTATTTATTTTAACATTGCTTATTATTGCCTACTGAGTTTTTCCAAATTATTATTTTTAAAAAGTATAAAACAGGTTTTACGTTATACATTTCAGCTATCTACATTTAAACTCTTCAAAAATAATAAACTAGTAGTTACGTTGTACCAGTTCTGGCTCACTGAATCAGAAGTGGTACAAGTACGACGTTCGTCGACTCACGATCCTAAAAAAAAAAGGTTTTGGCATGCATCTGTTGACCCACCTTTATATGCGAGTACTATAACTAATGTTTTTGGGAAATCAAACAAAATTTATGATTAATTTAAAATTTTATTTTCAAGCAATAACCACTTGTAAAAAAACCCACACTTCGTCACAAGAACAATGTAAAATTTTGCGATTATTTTTTGCAAATATATGATTATTACACACACAACGTTTGTTTAAATTTATGACATTTACCAAATCATTGTATTTTGGACATTTGTATTCTTCAATATTAAAAATTCTATCATTCGTCGTCAACATTTTTAAAAATTGTTTTTCTGTTGAACCACCTTTGTATGCGAGTACTATAACTAATGTTTTTGGGAAATCAAACAAAATTTATGATTGATTTAAAATTTTATTTTCAAGCAATAACCATTTGTAAAAAACCCACACTTCGTCACAAGAACAATGTAAAATTTTGTGATTATTTTTTGCAAATATATGATTATTACACACATACGTTTGTTTAAATTTATGACATTTACCAAATCATTGTATTTTGGACATTTGTATTCTTCAATATTAAAAATTCTATCATTCGTCTTCAACATTTTTAAAAATTATTTTTCTGTTGAACCACCTTTGTATGCGATCACTTCGTCTTTGCACAAATTTCTAATATACCAATTTAATATGGGAATGATTTTCTCTTGTTTGTAGGCACATTTTAATTCTTCGGTCACATCAAAATATGGAATGCGGTGCACGTGTGTTTCACAATAACGAACAGTTTTTTTGTTTTTTGGCGACAAATAATTGAAATGATAACTTGGCCGAAACAAATAATGATCGATAAACGCATCATTTTTATTAGATAGTTTTACGTCTAGAATAGCCATTTCTCTACATTGAAAATGTTTATGAGGATATGTAATGTAAAATCCATCCATGTCGATGATGTATCTAATATTTTTTAGATTTTGTGTCATTTTGAACCAAAATGTTAAAAGTATTTACACGTGACTAAAAATATGTTTGTTCCAACAAACTTCACATAACAATGCTTCATTACTTCTGCTCTTGTCTTCCTGTAATTTAAGTAAACAGAATCACATTCACTAATGATCAACTAATGACTGTCATTGTTAAAAAAGTATTTTTTAACTACTCTAGTATTCGTAGATGCGGTACACACACAATATTTAAATATAATTTTCGAAAATTAATAAAATGGAATTCAGTGTCATTATTTCACAATAAAAAATTTTGTCGTATCTTGCAAACGCACGTAAGTTACGTTCTAGTGACCTGTCATTCACACCATGCTACTACGCAAAGACTATAGCTAAATAGATATGATAAAATACTGTGAAAATTAGCAATTTTTTAAGCTACCTAAACCTAGTAGCCTAATGGCAGGACGCGGACCGCGAACTCAAAAAAAAAAAGATCGTGGGTTCAAATCCGCCATTCGACAACTGGCGTGAACCACTCGTAACACAAGCAATTTAAGCTTACCACGAGTGGTTAAAGGGGAATATTAGTAATGTTAAAAAATATTGAATATTACCCACGAATAAACTGAGTTTTAACATTTTCTTATTAAATTGTAATTTTATTCCCTAAAGTGTGAAAATATCTAAAGACATTAAAAATTTTCAATATATATTTTAGATATAATCTTCTAGCTACGTATATATCATTACTGCATACTATATATGCACTTCATGCTCCATCGTTCAAAAAGGGTTGAGTAGACCCATTCTGCGTGAAAAGTTAAAAAATATATATTTTCATTTTTTTATATCGATTTCGCGCTTGCCTGGTGTTGGTTTAACAATATGGTACTATTTACTACTATTTTTAGACAAGACATTTTTATAAACATAAGCATTTCATTTTGCTTTAACCATTTTTTCAGTTTTCCTGGAAATCCGAATATCAAGAAAATATGGATAGAAGCCACGGGAAGGCTCAACTGGATGCCTACAAAAAATAGTTGCATTTGCTCAGATCATTTTTTTGAAACTGACTTTTTATTAACACATAGCAAAAGATATTTGAAGGAAAATGCAATTCCACGAAAAGAAATTGTACAAATAAAATCTGCGCCGGCAAGTGAAATCTATTTAACCTTTTATAATCTTATTAAAACTTTATACACAAATAAATTCTGAATACCAAAGAAACTTAAGCTTATTCTTCTTAAGAAAACAAACATCTACTAATGTGGACCAAACTCCGAAATCATGAAATTAAGCAGCTGTTCCACACAAAAGCGTAAACCAACAAAAATGTATGGAACAGTCCGTTTTTGCAATTTTGTTGTCCGTTTCCATGAGTAGAATAAACCCTTAAAGTTTCCAAGGTCAAAGTTTAGATCAAAATTTAACAGTGTCTATAGACTAAGTACGCATATTTACAATAAAAATAACACTATCAATCAGGATAAAAACTAGCCTTAACAATACCATAGTGCGACGGGCTAAGCAGCTTAAAAAAATTGACGGTATCAACAAATGGCACCTTAAATATTTGTGCCAAACAAAATGAAACAATACAAACACAATGAAATAAACATGTACAATTGGTATGTTTGTCGGTTTAAAAAATATATTTCTTATTTTATTTCAGATCGACTATAAAATAAACAACAGCTGCACCAACCCTTCAACTTCTAATACTTGTGAAAGCGATCCGTTAAATCTGTCGGAAAGAGTAAGTCACATACATACACATAAATCGTTAAATGAAATAATTATTTATTTACTGCCATAGTTTAAACATTGTATTCTTTTCGTTTCTTGCATTTTTATATACAGACAACTATAGCGTCACCTATCTCTTCGGATGATTCAACGCCGCGAGAACGAAAATTAAAAGAAATAATACAGGATAAAGAATATGTAATAACAAAACAACGAAAACAAATCAAGAGAATACAGGCGCAAAATCGAAGACTCAATGAGAAAATTAAAAAGCTTGAAGACGTGCTAAGTAAACTACAAGAAAAGTCTTTGTGAGGAACTGAATAAGTACCCTAAAAATACACAGTTTACAGGTTTTTACTCATTGTCTAGTATGTCCAACGATCTTTTTTGTTAATGTAAGCGAAGCTAAAAAAGCTTACTCTATTCGTAAAATAAAAGTAATTTTCCTGACGCTTGGTATCTAGCAAACCCAAATGCAAATTCAATACATTTGATTGTGAAATTAATTATATTGAAAAAACGAAATTAAATCGAATCTTGTATATAGTAATTGTTTAATGATTACAATTATGACCATCAATGTCCTAATTGTAATCGTTAAACATGGTTTCTAAAGTGTTATAAAACGTTTTATTCACTGCAGTATTTCTTACCCGTCTGTTTTAAACAGTTAACAGAAAGTTTAATTGTAAAGCATTACTTAAAGTCAACATTTATAACACGGAACTTTTGTATATTGATAAATTTTAAATAGATTTTCAGTCTTAATATGTATTTCAGAAAATCATTTGTTCCTGTGATGTATATTATATAGTCCACATGATTGTAAGTGGATGCTGTGGCCCATAGACATTTATCCTCAATTAGGAATCAAAATGCAAATGTGTTGTGACCCCTGAGGACTTCTTGTATATAGTATATAGTAAGATCGTATGAAAAGTATTCTTATGAATTAAACAAACCTATTTATATTTTGGATCTCATTCATATTATATGCCTTTAGGACATTATTTATAGTTTTGTGTTTTCGATCAATTAGTTAGTGTCAGTCTGTCTTAACCCGGAGTAGAAAAATATTATAATTCGTTTGTTTTCCGCTACAAGTAGAAGAATTGATTAATTGATACTACAAAAAACTGAAACTGGAAACTGCAATCAGAAATTATCACCCGCTCTAAGCACTTTTGCACTAACTTTGAACTATTACTCCCGAAAGGCGTTTAAATACGTTCGCGATACTTTTAATACATATTTGCCCCATGTAGTAAAATGTGTATACTGCAGCAGTGGTATTCGAGCGTAGGCGGAGATCCGGGGCTTACCACTGAATCTTTTGTTGCGTTGAAACAGAAGGCGGAAACCACCAAATGCCTCATTTTTGGGTCATCAACAATTGAAGAAATGGCCATTTATAAAGTCAGCCGAGTCAAACGAAAGTTGCCTTGCGTTTGGAGATATTCACCACAATAATCGAATTCAAACTCACGACCTTTGTTCGCGGCCCGCACTCTGCCATTAGGCAACTATCGCTTTGAATATGTTATTTAATAAACTAATATTTAGTTTTGGTTAGTTTTTTATATTCATAGCACCCTTTTGCAATTTTCGAATATTAACTAACGTAGGAAAACAGGCCAACACATTTCAAAGGCAATCAATAATAAATAAATACTAATTTAAAGAACCACTCGTTTACTAGCCTTCGTCCGCGTGGATATCGGTCTATAGAAATTTTTGAGGATAAAATGTCTGATTACCAAAGTTCGTCAAAATCGGTTTGGGGGCTTAGCATTTTCCTTACACAGTTTCATTCTAGATACCATTGTTTTTTCCTCAAGTTCGCGGATTCACGGGTAATGATGACTAAACTAAAGTAAGGCTTAACTTAGATATGTTCAATTTTTAATCTAGTTTTCGGATTTCTAAATAGATTTCAATATATAATTTTAACTTTGCAAAACATTCCATGCACTGGTGGATATCTACCGATTACCGGTAAATCATTAAACAGTACTACACCCCTAGCTGTGATACCATTTTATATATGAAGTCTAGAAGTAAGGAGTACCAACTCCCATAGTAGAATAGTTGAAAAAGTGGGCATCTGTAAGCAGTAAATAACAGTTCAAAAACTCTCCACAACGGCGCTGGAGTAGCTACTGGGATGAAATGAACTTAGCAGTTGTCGACGGTGTCGACGGTTTGAAGTGTACTGCTAAACTGCTCAGTAGCTCTAAAATCTGAAATAATTTTATTTAGTAAATATAACCTCGAAAAAGTCATCCATCCCACTAACATTTTTCAGCACGTTCTTTAAAATTTAGTCCGTAGCTATAGTGGCGCCACCCTTATTTAACAGTTTTCTATGGACACTTTTTAATACACAGTCTGTACTCCTTACTTCTATACTCCATAAGTTTATACTAGACACAGAGGGTAATCTGTGACTACAGATTACTAATACGTGTTCAACAACTTTTTAATAACAATAGGGAAAAAATATACTAACTATTATAGTATTTGCAATTGGTTTGCATACTATTTTTAAATAATTAATATGTGTTAAAATTTAAATTACATATTTTTATTTTTAATATTTATCGTGGACATCGATCTAGTCTTCGCTTCGCTAGTCCGTCCACCGTTAATCCTTCAATTTCTTTATTGAAAGAGACGGACCTTCAAAATTCGTTGTGAATCCGTTGTTATGGCCTTGAAATAAAGTCGGATTTTATGTAACATTAAAATGCGTTAGTAATATTTATTTATTTAGATTTGTATGACCAATGACCGAAATGGGTTTCTTGTAGTAAAAAATAAGACATATCCGCTTGTATGTGTGCACCCGGCGACATTGGTTCTTGTATAAAATAAGATTGGCAGCTATTTTATTGTGTATTATAGTATTCTATGGTGTGAAATATTCAAATGTAAAGGAGCTATAACACCTAAGTCTCACCTGCACGAGGTACACCCTGATGACAGACAAACCGTTTCCGAACTCGTATTTGTTCAAAAAGTCGAATCGACACTTGTCCAAATCGCACATAGAATAAAATAATTTTATTCCATATACATGACAGTTAATATAATAAAATATAATAAAAATACATTTATGCTGGAAGAACCAGAAAGTCACCCAACGGGATCCTTCTTTTCATTGATTTATTTTCCAATAATAATAAACTTAATGTATGTAAGTATTCCAACCTTTTTTATGGAATAGGATGACAAACGAACACACAGTTCACGTGATGGTAAGTGGATGCTATGGTGCGTAGACATCTACATTTATCCTCAATTAAGAATCAAAACGCAAATGCATTGTCACCAGTGAAGACAGTGAAGACTAAGATGGAATGGTTCGTATCCAGTAAAATGGGTCTCCGGTTCTCTATACTCACCATACGAAACACAGCAGCGTTAAGCTACTCTTTTATCTACTATTTTCTACTATCATATGCAATTATCGGCAATAACGGTCGGCAGTAACTATGGCAACAGATGGCAAAAAGCTAAATTGAATAGCGCCAAAAGTAGACCACCTAACTGTCACCATATAAGCTTGTTCTGGCTCATCTTTTTGAATGGTTTAAGTTCGTATCGGACACTGCTTGGTTGCGACTGTCGTCAAGTCTAGGCGTCTTCAATTCGTCAAAGGTAATAATTTTTCTCTACGATGCCTCGAGGTTGATTTGTGAGATCGAAATTTAGTCATTGGAACAATAACATGGTCATTAGTAGTACAAACTCCTTAAACGTCATTGATATTGCTTGTCGTATGAGGCATTTTTTGTAAAACGTTACCCCTCCCCTACACTAGGATTTGTACCTCTATCGTGGATTGCTAAAAGTGGTAGTTTACATATACAATAAGTGGTGAAATTAAAAATTTTGTACAACCGACTTCAATATAAATAAAAAGAGAACATCATCAATCTATTCGAAGTCAATTAAATACGCATTATTAAGGATAACTCAAAAACTACTGGTCAGATCTAACATACAGTCGTTTTGAGTACCTCCTCCTTTTTGAAGTCGGTTGAAAAAGTTGCACAATAACAAAAATTGTTGATATCGTTTCCAAGTATGAGCTCATATTAAAAATTCGAATTTCTAAGGGTAGGTACATGGTTTAAAATATAGCGATAGCATATGAGTAAATTCTTTATTCATGATAATAAACAAATTAAGGATTTTTTTTAGAATTTAGAAAGTCAAACCTTAGATTACAGTTCAAAACAGCCAGTTCAACGAAACGGCTAATGCATGATAAATGACCTAATAATTAATATGATTATCGTATTAATGTAGCAAAATAATCGGACATTCAAAAATAATTAATTAATAATAAAATTAGTTATCGATCTGTATGTCAACAAAGTAATGAACTTTGAAATTAAATAGCAATTATTATTGCTACAAAGTTTATTTCCAAATACCTACCTATGCTTTTTAAAAATACAAATTATAATGAGCAGTCTTTTAACGTTACCAGTATAACTTACTTATACTAACGTTACTGCACTGTATTGTATAAGTAACATTTTGGCTACATGAGTAGATAAACGTTTTTCGTTTATCTACTCATGTAATTTTGGCTTTGTGAAACGAAGTAACGCTATGCTGCTAATTTACGTTATTTTTTCCTTTATTACCTACTTATGAACTTCTATTATAAAATTACGTTTGCTAGGGCATAGTAAAATTGAATAGTAAGATACTCCCGCGCTGCGCGAGACTTAAATGCCTACTGTTGCAGGGTTGTCATGTCACTGTCTTTTTGTTTGCTAAGTCCCATTTAGTTTTATAAGTAGTTAATAATATTTACAAACATAATACGTACGGATACAAACCTGTGCATCATATTTGTTAATCATTTCTTTAGTTTCCTCTCAAATAATCATTTTATATTAAAAAAAATCCAGCTTTACATTATAACAAATGCCAAATAACTAAAATACGAGTAGGTAAATTACATATTATGGTGTCAGCTCAGATTTAATGTTTAAAATTAATTTGATGTGATGTGATATGATAATTAATGTACTTATGAGGTATGTATTTATGTATAGATATAGTAATATAACCTATCAATAAAAAGCAGTAGCAGCGTCGATGAGTTTGGGCTCCACGGACTTTCATGCAAGAAAAGTGCAGGTAGGTTTTCCCGTCACGGTTCTTTGAACGAAATCATCCGAAGGGCTCTTGTCTCCATAAATGTCCCGTCAGTTTTAGAGCCTTGCGGGATATTTAGAGACGATGGCAGGAGACCCGACGGTATGACTTTGGTCCCTTGGGAGAGAGGTAAA